CCGCTCAGATTCGCCCAAAACACGAGGAAATATACGGTAGATCCAAATGCGTACGCATTTTGCGTACGGGGACGACTGGCCAGAGTTCATGCACTGCAAACACCCGTGAGAGCAAGAGTACATGAACCAGAGTGTGCAGCTCGGATGGGTTGCTGTCACGGCGGAATTCCGTGATTACAATCATTTTAGTGATGTAGTGCATACAAGCGGGATTCAAGCAGGTCTCTTTCTGCACAACTGCAGCTCAGTTGTACGCACTACGCCATTTCCCGCCTCTGATCTGCGCCAAATATGATGTAATCACGGAATTTTGCCGTGACAGACACCCATAGCAGAAAAGGCCCCAAGCTGAACACTCTGGTTTTCATGTGCTCTTGGTGACACCAGTTTCTGTGACTTTGGCATGGAAATCATGGCGCCTGAGTTCATCCTTTCTGGACTCAAAACGATGACATTTTGAGACATTTTGCTAATAGGCGTTTCACACTCACGTCTTTATTTTGCGTCTTCGTCTTCGTTGCCTAGGCGATCCCGGGGAATCCCCAAAACGTGAGCTGAAGACTTCAAAACGCAGACGCGGCCCTATGGGCAGAGTCTTCGGCCACGTCTTCGTCTTTTTTGTCGTCTTGAACTATTGTCTGGCCTATCCGCATGCGCAGAGATCTTGGCGGGGAAATGTAAAGTGAGAATGCAACCTGCTAGCTGCATCTGTCAAAAGAATTTTCTTCTTCCTTTCAGTTCTCTTCGACTTTGACATTGAGGTTCCGTTCTTTTATTTTCATACCGGTGCCTTTGTTCGTACCTTCACCTTCACTATGACGAAAACGTTTGATAATGAGGCCGAGGCTTGCCTGTTGCGGATTTGGTGCCAGATTAGGGACATGGTGAAGCTGTTCATATGCAATCGCTCGATCGGGAAGCAATTGCCCAAGGCCGCGCCACAAAAGCAAAAGGAAGAGCCGAAGCACGCGTGCTTCCATTGCAGGGTGTAATATTCTTCACCTACAAAAGCGAAATAATGATGACCACAAAACTAAAACTGAGAACTGTTTGGTCTTCCTTGAGGCTGGCTGGTACATGGTGTGGAAACTACAGAACTGCCCAAGATTTTTTATTTATTTTGAATCTACTCGCATGCCGTAATTTTTTTTGCCCATGGACTGCTACCAACGTTGCTGATTTTTGGCAAAACGATGTGCTCGATGTGTGTGTGTGTGAATCGATTTGTGCAGCAAGTCGACGTTTTGGCTGAAAACGACGTCCCGGAAAGACGCGAGTGTGAAACGGCTATAACCGAATTAACAGTTTTACAGTGCTGTCTACAACGACCTCTCAAGGGGCCTTCAAGCGTGGTCTCTGTCTCTTTATCCAGCGTCATTTGACTGGAAATAGCATCCCTTTGTCCTGGTATCAGTGGTCTTCTAGGACAGGTGGTCGCCTTATCTGAGTGGTCGCACACCTGGCGCTAGTCTAATGAAGTTTTGTGTGTTGTGTGCTTAACGACCGACTCCCCTGAAATCCCCAAAATTCTGGGTGGGCTTGAAATTTTGAAGATTATCCCACTCATGGGCTCACCACACCTCAGTAAATGGGCAGGGACAAGTTGCACAAAAGGGATTGACGGCATCACAGTATCTATCACGGGATCCAGCTGCATTCACCTCTGCCCCCCAGTGAATGTACTTCATCCGTTAACAAAAAACTAGTGGATGGATATTGATGGATACGCTTAGAACAGATCAAGAACAGTTTGTCTCCACTGTCAATCACTGGACAAAGATGGTTGAGCCCATGTACAGCGTCTTTATAGGAGAAACTGTCGGGGTAATGAGTTCAGTTTGGGTCGCTTTCGCTTCACTCATTTGTTACGCTTTGTTTCAGCTCTTTCAGCATTACCACGGCTTCTTTCATCACACTCCGCCGAACCTTTGTGATTCTGTGACCGTTTACACGATGGAGTTGTAAAACCTTATGGCTTCCTGGTTTCACCACCATTCTCCAGAACTCTGCGAAATGACGAGTAAAGGCACAGCCAGGCTGATTCCAATTTCTTTGATGAATAATCCTGCCAGCACTGAGTGGCAGCGGCTAGCAAGTCCTGGCTATTATCCGTAGCCACGAGACTCACGTCGGACCGTGCAGACCTTTAAGGGGGCAGCCTACCCATAAATTTCATAAGGCATTCAATTGACCGTAACTTTGGTGTTTCTCAATGGATTTGAGTGAAATTTTTTGACCACACACTCCTGCCACTATGCTGGCCCTCAGGACATGATTTGTAAAAACAAGTTCTTGTGCTTCACTGACAGGCTTTCCAGGCCGGAAAAACTTAAATTTCCGGCATAGTGCCACGGTGTGCGAGCCACCCAGGAGCCAAACAAATGCATTTACAATTTTTTCACATTTTCGTGCCCATTCTGTCCGTGCCCGGGACCCAAACCTAAAACAAGTCCAGAAGCAGCCATGGGTGATGGGATAGGGCCCCTCAACGTGGCCCTGGAACCCTGTCACAACGGAACGAGTGGGCGTTCTCTCACAGACTCCCACCGACCAAAGTCAATTTTGAATTTTATTAAGTTTAGCACGTGCTACGAGGTCGTACCTTTGATACAACATCCAGTGCTGGGGCGTCCACAGCAAGCCATTTCCACACCGCTGCACACCAAATCCAGGATACCCTCAGAAACCGGCAAAGACTACCACTCATGTTCCACTACTGCCTAGTACTGAATCCTACCTGACTTCTTGACACAACTCAAACTTGCCAAAGTCACTTAATCAACGTCAACTACAATAATCAAGCCACATATCTGCAACGTCACGAGGGTGCTGGCAAAAGTCCTGTTGCACGGCGGTTTCGCCCGCCGCCGTGCAGCCCAATACGTGGTCTTTTAACGTGATTTTTTGGACTTTTTTGGACTTGGAGCAAAATTCTGCACACTTTCGCGTGTTTCCATGATACGACAAGTTACGCACGGTCTGCTCAGATTCAAATACAGTGCTGCCAACAAATGACAGCGTGCAACAAAAAAATCTTTCCTTGCAAGGGCACATTTTCGGCCATAACTCCTGAACGGCTGGTCAAATCGCGACACAATTTTCAGAGAATCTGCAGCTATTCATGCTCATTCAACTGACGTAGCACTCAATATGAATTTACAAGTTCTATTTTTCAGCGGATTTTTGGGTATTCTGCCTAAAAGAAAGTATTGTCATCAGTTTTCGCATCTGGGCTTCGCGTATCTTGAACAAGAACATGAATTCAGAATCATTTCTTTGTGCCGTGGGATCGGAGCAGCTGCTTGTTCACTCGCTCATCGTGTGGGCTTGCGGCTCTGTTCCATCACTGTCAAACTCAGTGCTACAGAGGCCAAGCAGCGCAATATATCCTCGGAGAAGCGGTATCTCAGTTTAGCTCGTCATGGCTGTCATCATTTATGTTGCCACAGCGCACCCATCAATTCCGCTCGGTTTGTTGCAAAAGGTCACTTTCCTTGCATCGAATGTCTTTCACGAAAGCCGAGAAAGTGATTCGACTCATTTCATGGCAGTTTGTGCGCCAACCAGTCCCTCAAAAATCGATCACGCATTTGTTATAATCCTTCCTCTTTTCAATCTACATGTTATAATTTTGCAGATATATTCCCAGTAAGCCATGAATGGAGACCCCCTCGACTTAGGCCTCGGCCTTTGGGAATCCAAAAATAAAACAATAAATAAAAATAAAAAATTCAAAAAGAGGACCAACATTTTACAAGTTAAATATGTTTTTCCAACACTAACGGTTATAAGCAGCATACTGTTGAGTCAAAACTGTTGAGTTAAAACTGTGCAACAATTAGCACGTCAGGCGAAATAGCACGTCATAGTACATTCGAGATCAGCGGGAAGAAGATGACGACGTCCACTAATTTAGTATCTGTGCACACGATTCTGCTGTGTGTGTTACTCTGTGTGTCAGCTATGGCATCATCGCCTGTGGTTCCATGCCTAGCATGTACGTCTGAACCATCCTGCAAAGTTTGAATGACGTAGGTTGAGCGATCGCTCCGCGAAACATCCTTTTTGAGATTCTCTTCATAGTATATCTTCCACCATTGAAATTTCGAATTTCTTCGAATTTTTTGCTGAGAGGGGTGGCTTGCAACCTCGATATGGCTTGTTCCAGGAATTCTTTGGAGCCATCGCCTGTTGAAACAGTGGCGGGAAGCTGCCCTGCAACTGTTCCAACAGGAAATTAATCGATCCGAGAAAGCGCGAGTCCGCGAATCTCGGTTGAATATTGAGTATTTCAAGCCTTTTCACGACGAAGGTGGAGTTCTTTTTGGAGATGGACGTCGCGGCAAAGGACATGGTGTCCGACTTCTGGCGTCTGGTGAAGCCAGGGATCATTTGTCCAGTCAGGTCGGCAGCCTAACCGTCGGTAAGCTTGTGTTTGGATTCCGTTCTGCTCGATGTGGTAGATCCGACAAACAATTTGATATCGCACAAATTGATCTCAGCATCGTGCGTACGGTATTTTATATTCAGAAAATCCCAAAGTGTCTCTGTGTGGCCGTCCTATGCCACGAGAAACTCCAATCAGGCTCCTATGTCCTCTGCCTTCATGATTGAATGTCCACTTCGTTTGAACAACGAACACATCAATCGAGGAGGGCTTTGCAATGAAAAATACAGCTATACTGGAGCTGAAAAAAGAAGAAAAAACCGTGCTCAGGATGAGACTCGAGTACACGCATACTCTCCCAGCAGGTGAAACGCAAATTTTTGTGAAAAATGCGTGTCGCCGACTGACCAGCAATTTCGCCTGACGCAAAACTGACTGATTAGATCATGACATTCAAGGACCTAATGCTTAGCTGCATCATGTCTAGAGTGCGCAAACCAGCAGCCTTCCAACTTGGAAGGTGAAAAATAAGTTGTTATTAACGGAGTAAGTACACCCTCGTGTGTGTGTGACTACTGACTGCCAGATTCCATGCAATTATTAGGAGACTTACTGGTGCAGAGGACAGTGGATGTAGATGCTGGAACAAGATCTGAGACCAAATGTTGTGTAGAACTTTTGCCAAACCGGTTGATTAGTTCAAACCGACTTGAATCCGGGCTGTACCCAAGCCAGAATGCATTTTGAACCGAATTATCGAGGTTACGAAGAAGTGCCTGGTCTTTTACAGGGTTTGGCAGCGACATTCCCAGGCCCTCGCATGTCTTCTTGGCCTGACTGTTGAACAGGGCAGTGGATATGTGCAAGCGATAGAGACCATTTCCAGTTGCTGGCGTTTTGTACGTGTCTAGACACAAAAACACCGAATATAGTACATACAATTAATGCCCAGACACACGACAAAACAATATACACACACACACGCACACACACACACACGCACAAACACGAATGTTGAGGCTCGACACCGTGGGCAGGGAAAGCACACATTTACCGGTAGGTCAACTGTGATTTACCGTATGATGCCAGCACGGGCTGCTTCACATAGCAACAACGTGCCGGGAAAAGCTGTGATGCAATCAGGTCACATTGCATCCTTTTTTTTTTCTTTTTTTCCTTTCTCTGCATACTGCACTGCTATATAAAAATCTAAAGAAACACGCGTAAAGCATGCATCGTCTGCAGGGTTTTACGAGAGCGTACACATGATGGGAAAGCAAAACTTACGGACACACTTGTACGTTGCTCCTGCCTTCAGCGCTGGAAAGCAGTAGTAGCCGGTTGGGCAGTCAGCACCCTTCCCACACGCCT